ATCACCTTTTTCAAATCTCTCTCCAATAATTAAGCATTATATACTAGCTTAAAAAACTCCTTAATGCACAACGAAGAAGAGGTTGTCATAGTTGATCTCTTAACCCCTTTATAAACTTGTAACATTTCTTCATCGAGGTACTGATAAGTTGAGGAGCATATATCAACAAACATATAAATTTTGCCTCACACTGAAGCACAATCTTAGCTCCTTGAATCAAAGTCACAAAATTCTCCTACAAATCCTATTTAGTGGAAGGAGGAACATATTGTTCTTTAAACACTTGCTCAAACTCCTCTTAAGAGATCAACTCTTTAGGTTTACAATCAAATCTCTCCATATGTTGGCATCTCCATCACCTATCTACTCCCCCCTCTAATACAAAGATAGGTAAGAACACCCTTTCTTTCGTTTGGGATTTTCATTCCATTTAAGCTCTTTTCAATTCAAATTAACCAGTCTTTAGTAGCTTAGACATCCACTCCTCCCTTAAGTAGAGGTTGCTTCAAACTCTGAAATAGCTTTAAATGCTTATATATTTTCACACCCATAGGAGTACTGGTACTGCTATCAAGAATTATAGGTGCTATAAATACAACTACTAGCGATGGTATAACTATTATAGTAGGTCTAGCTATCTCAACTAAGGATTGTATTTTCTCTATCATCTACACCATTATCATTTGCATCATCCTCCCTGACATCACTAATGTAGGATCAGGCATTGGTGGTGAATTCCCCACACTAGGTTTACCTCTCTCAGCCAGTGCAGCATTCTTAAGTTCTTCCAATATTTAGCTAAACAATGTAGGCCCTCCACTAGTTCTCTTAGAAACACATTCGGTCTAAACCCTGATACAAAATCAAAATAATTACACTTTAACACTAAACTATATCTCAAACTCAAACACCTAGTTTTTATTTTTATTTTGTGGATAGTAGGAGGTCTAACTAGGCTTTTAAATTATACATTTATATTTTCTCCAAGACATTGACCTCACCTAGAAATTAGATTCCATCTTTGAAGACTAACCCCACCTATGCTCTGTAAGTTTTAAATCATTTCACCATAATCATTATATCAATTATTATTTTCATAAGAAATTATCTAACCTTTAAAACTTGCTCTAATACAATTTTTATCGTACCCCACTTCAACTCTATATTAAACAGCGATGTAGAACTCAACAATAATGATCGCACATAACTTAAATTACTCTTTTAGATTTATTATGATACAAGAGTTAATTGCAACTATATAAAAAGAAAATCATAACTTAGAACATCAATTATAAGCATAAACAATCACTTTCATTTCCAAAAAAACTTTCTTTTATAGAGCATCCATCAAAACCCCAAAATAAGTGGCTAACAACATGCTACTAATCTCAAAAGTCTTCCTACATCAACAAAAATATACAAACAAAATACAAACATAACCTGACTCTACTGTGGTTCAATCTTATCCTTTCCCTAGCCTGCAACAACCAGAATAACTCATCTGATGATCAACATTGTCTGGAAAGATATACGTCTTTAATACAATGGTCACATATATAAAATAAGACTTTCATGTGCATCAAGAAGTGAATGTAAGAATATAGTTAATTATCATTATAGAGAAATTATGCATAATATGCCACAATATAACATGTGAAAATAATGTTACACATACACTTTTAAGCAATGTTCTATATTATTTTCATGACATCAATCAAGTCACTTAAAAAAGAAAATGACATATTATCAGCATGTTTTACCTTTTTGGTAGTTTTCTAATATGTGTCTCTCATATTATCATAAGTCAATCATTTCATAATTCCCTTTTTCAACTCTAGAAGATGTCATGTTAAGACATTTAGGCGGTCTCCAGCCTATAGTTTCTTGAGGTTGCACTTACTCTTGAGATTTTTCTGCCTTTATTTCCCGTAGGCTTACTAACCGAGGTCGCATTGCCTCTAGTGGTTCGTAATGCCAATTAGGGTCGCATTGCCCTATCCACCTAACATCTGACATGAAAATATCTAAAACTTATTTGATCCTTGCATATTAATGTTTGGGTTATGTGACATAATACAAATTATTATAAGTGAAATGTTGCATAAATTATCATTTTATGCAAAGTCTAAAGAATTAAAAATACGAAGCCATATGTCACTCACTAGTAATTCAATTGTAGGTATATAAGTAATACTAAAAATTCACATATTGTAACAAAATGTATATATTGCCTCTATGATGCACTGATTCACACAATCAGATATATCGTGTCCGCATACGAGTATAATGCATCTTCCAATTTTTCTTTCGCATGAACAACATAAATTAATTCCTCGCATTTTCCTCTCATTCTACAAATCCTGTATATAATTCCATTAATGATAATTGCACAGTTATACTAAATAGAGTGTAAAATAATTTCATTATAATCACTCTCGCTCTGCTACTTTCGTTTCTACTCCCACTAGACAACAACAATTAATGCATTCTCTTCCCCCTCTTCTCTTTCTATTCATCCCCTTATTGAACACTTGCTTCTACCATCTTTATCATCAAATACATTTCTAGCATCTCCCAACCACATTATATTCACTTACACCATCTCTCCACAGCAGCCGACTCACCCACAATAACTCCTAATAGCAACCAACTCACCCACAACAACTCCCAACAGTAGCCAACTCACCTAAAGCAACTCCCAACAATAACCAACTCACCCACAATAACTCTGAACAGCAGTCAACTCACCGAAAGCAACTCCGAATAGTAGCCAACTCATCCACAAAAACTCCCAACTGCAAGCAACTCATCCAAAGCAACTTCTAACAGTAACCAACTCACCCAAAGCAACTCCTAACATCAGCCAACTCATCCAAAGAAATTCCCATTAGCAGCCAACTCGCACACAACAACTCCCAACAGTAGTAGACTCATCTAAAGCCTCTCCCAATAATAACAGAATCCCCTACAACCTCTCTTAACAACAACATATTCACTCTCATCATCTCTTAACAATAATATAATCACGTACAACATATTCTAACATTAACATAATCACATACAACATTTTTTAACAGCAGCATAATCACCAATAACCCACAATCTAGCTCCCAAAATTTATACTAAATTGAGTACTCACAAAGCACTTTCCTTTAATACATGCTCCAACCTCTCCTACATCTACTTAGAGCTCCAATGTCCTTGAGCAAGTCTCCACTCTAGCTCCTCCTATGGCCTCCAGCTGAATCGAGAGTATTCTCAATGCCTACCTAGGTTTATAACGAAGTACCAATTAAATACTTAGGGAAAAAAATGAAATGCCTCGATTGCCCTTTCCCAACACTTTGTATGCAAGCCGACTGTTAAAAAGTTGTACCTTTGCTACAATACTTTTAATTTTTAAACAATGAAAAAATTCTTAACTTAGGGGAAAATACAAATTTGATTTAATTCTCTATTTCTCAAATACTTCACATTTAGGCATAAGATGCTATATGTCAAAATGCTCTATTTGACGAGCAGAGTAGAACTCGATGACATACAATTTATTAAATTTTATGAAAATTGAGATTTCGGGGTATATCAAATGTAGTCAAATGTGGCACATACCAGATCAAATACGGGTTTTACATTTTTTTTACATAATAATAAAAATATCATTAATTTTAGAGGTTATTTAAGATTTTTTTTAATTATAAGTTAATTTGATATATAATATTTTTTATTAATGAATATTATATAAATCAAGTTATTCTATTATTTAGAAGATGGTAGTGGCACCATGGCTAGAGGTACAAGTAGACTAGAGCTATAATATATTGTAATTGTACTATGATTTTTTTTTTTAGCCTAATTTGAATATTGTTTGAGTGCTTTGAACAAGTTAAAAGCTACTCCTTCACTCATATTCTGAGCTAGTTCGAACCGTTTTTAAATCAATATTCTAACTAAGATTTGAATTCTATTTGGGATGACCTTCGAGATGTAATCCACAAATATTAAAGAAAATATTTCCATTTGAAATAAATCTTTAGACATATTTTTCTAAAAAAATAGATAACATGAATATTTAGTCAATTATGTTATATAAATTTAAAGGAATTTTGAATGTAAATGCTTCATAATGTCCTAAATTGGAGAAATATATATGTTATTTCATTTTCTTAAAAAATATGCCATAAATTTTTTTAAGTCCAAAATAGCTCTAAAAATCAAAGAGATGATCGAGTATTATATAAGTGAACTTTCAAGTAAGAAGTTGATCGACCATTTTACAAATTCAAACATTGCACGAATCTCATTCAATCTCACATTTAAATTATTTTAAAAAATTTTAAATTGTACCCCGTATAAGAATCTTATTTGAACAATTATATCTATCTTAGACCTTTCATTAATCATGTTTTATAATAATCTTATTGAAACTTTCATTAAAAAAATTTATGAATAACATTATTCGACTTTGATTCGAACAATCTTAAATTGTGGATCAAAAGCCTATTATATATGATCTCAATTATATTCAAATTTTATTTGATGCTTACTCGAGAATCTTTATAATCAATGTTGGCCGTGACGGACTTAAATACTCTAAGATAAAAGTTAAGATACTTGTTCCAAAATAATTTTTTGATATATTTTTTAAAAAAATGAAAACATGAGCATATTTATTCAATTTAAATCATTATGAGAAATATTAAGTCAAGTTTTCAAGGTGAAGTGAAGGTGGAAAAAATTTAAAAAATAAAAAATAAAAAAATTTAAAAAATAAAAAATAATTTTTTTTTTAAATTTGAATGAATATATTGAAATAGAAACAGAATAATTTTAAATAATTAAAATTTAGATAATTACGGGATTCAATTTGAATGCGTATTTATCGACCATAGGCCGGCCATGTGATTAAAACAAGCCAAGTCCTTCGTCAGTCCAAGTTCAGAGAGCGGACGCCAATTATTCAGTTAACTAGCAACAATTTTAGACATTTCATCATTTCGATTCCGTTCTCCGCGTGAAGGCCCTAACCAGCGGCCCGCACCTGGTCAATCCCGCACCTGATCAATCACTATCATCATCCTCATTAATCCAAACTGTGATGAAACCGGAGACACAGAGGGGGAAAACGCGTACCGGAGAACTCTCAAGCATCTGCCATGGCCAAAAAACGCAGGTATTCAACCTGAATACTCATCCTTTGAACTTCTGGCCATCAGATCCATGCCCCTTGTATCCGTCTCCAACGATTTAGGGTTTGAGGTCGCCTGCTGATCAAATTCCGCGATCAAATTCAAACGAATGGTTTCTGTGAAACGTATCAACAGAATCCTGTTGGTATACTAGTAACCTCAATGAAGGGGCGCTCCCACCGCCCTCCTCCTTCCGCTCCCCTCGAGGACTGGGGCGATGGACAATGGACGGTGGACTGCTCCTGCGGCGTGAACTTCGACGACGGTGAGGAGATGGTGAGCTGCGATGAGTGCGGAATTTGGGTGCATACCCGTTGCTCTCACTACGTACGGGGGGAGGCATCTTTCGCATGCCACAACTGCAAGGCCGCCACCAAGCGTTCCCGCACGATCGTTACCTCCGCTGCTAATAACTTTGCCCATGATACTGAGGAGACTGAGGTCGCGCAGCTTCTTGTCGAGTTGCCTACCAAAGCCGACCGCCCGCCGCCGATCCATCCGGGTGGTGCTCCGTTGCGCCCTCCTTTCAGGCTGTGGGCTCATGTCCCTATGGAGGAGCGGGTCCATGTGCAGGGCGTTCCTGGTGGAGATTCTTCTTTGTTTCGGGGGTTATCTTCAAAGATCTTCTCTCCGGAGTTATGGAAGCGCACTGGATATGTTCCGAAGAAGTTCAATTTGAAGTATAAGGAGTTTCCTTGTTGGGAGGAGGAAGAGAGGGATAAGGCAAGCTTAGGTGCTGACGCGCTTTTCTCTTTGTCGAAGGAATCAGTGCAAGCTACTCCGGTGAAGTCGTCTGAGAAGATGTTGTCGCCGGATGGATCTTGGAAGGAAGGGGAGAAGATTCTGTTGGGCACTCGTTCTTTTGGTTGTGCAAAGAAGGAAAGGAACAAACTTAGAGTTTTGGGATCCAGTAAGTTTAGGAAGGAAGAATTAGGCGAGGAGAAGGAATTAAGTGGAAGAAGGAGATCGAGAGGAGATTTTGATAGGATGTTGACTGACATCAAGGAGAAAGGTGCATATCTGTTGCATTGAAATGCTTCTGTTTGCGATTTTCTCTTTAGTTGCGTTCTTGCTCTGCTGTTTCAGGTCTTCTTGGTGGAAATGAGTTTGGTTTATGATTATTTTGATACATATGTTTGGGGTGGTGCAGCTGGATCTGTTCCCTTGTTCGACTCGAGAAAAGAAGATTTATGTGAGGATGGGGATGGGGGACTCCATATTGCGGAATCTGATGTTCCAGATACCAAGAGTGCGTACAAAAGGGAGGACATGCTCCTTAAGCCCAGCTACAAGAATCTTGATGAAGGGATTGATAATGTCGGCAAGTCTAAGCACAACATGCTAGTCTTCAAGACTTCTAGGAGTCGTTTCCCTGATGAGGCACCAAGATCAAAACTTTTACTGGGAACACCTGTGAAGCTTGAGAAGGCTGATCGGCCAGATGGAAGGGTTGCTTGTAAACTAAATACTGTTGCAGCATGTCATGTTGAAGGTAGCAATATTGCCAAAGGTTTTATCAAACAGGAGGTATGTATTTTCTGCACCACTTTGTTGGTTTTCTGGATATAATTTTCAATAAATTTTTTATTATATTTGTTTTGATTATGTACTCTTATTTTCTTGATAAGCCATTGAACGCCAGATAGCTGGGAGGAGCTAATCCTTTATTAGGTAGTTTTAGAGAAGATTAAGCTTGTGACAGCTTAGTTTAGTTCATTGTATGGTTGTCAGAAGCTATGGAGAGGTCAGAATAGGCACGGTTGGATTTAGTTGTAATGGAAGATTAAAAATCATTCAGTCTAACACACAATAAACATGAATGTATGTATTTGTTTGGCTGTTCTATTTTATGAAGTGTGTATTTAATGAGGAACATCGATTCACAATATGATATGGCATAAAGTATTAAAAAATGGCTTGTTAGGTGTGTAGCTGCTCTCATCATTGTGGTTTCTTGGAGTGTTGATGCAAAATTTAAGAAGTCTTGAAAAGATTGGACACAAGTACACTAGGTGAAGAGAAGAATTATTTGAATTATGTTTTTATTTCATTGAGGACCTTACACTCTTATTTATATAGAAGAATTCTAGATCATACAAGATAATTTCTGCATACGTAAACTGCCAGTTACATGGTGATTATATGGCAATATTCCTAGGATAGAAATATACAATATGGAAGTATTTAACCATATTTCCTTATCCACGTCTATGAAAATGAAGGAAGATATTCTTCATCTTGCAAGCATTTACTTCACCTAAATCTTAAGATGGATTTCCTCCCAAGATCTATGAATGGCTATCTTAGATTACTCACTTGCAATCCCACAGATTGCTAAGCTGGCCTCAAGGCAGAAACTGTCAATACTCCTCAAGTTCTAGAGTAGATATTTTCCATGCCAAACTTGGAGGTGATAGTTTGGAATGTAGAGCTTATTAGTTATTTGATTAAGATGTTGGCCAATCATTTCTCTGTTTGGGCATATGTAATACATTTCAATACACTTTCTGGTTTTTATTTATGATGTGTTGATCATTTTCTATGTGTTCAGTTTGATAATATATTGGATTGGGTTCTGTAAAATGTCAATGACTAACTTGTTGACGCAATCTGATCTCATAGTATCTTCTCATTATAGTCTCATTTCATTTGGATGATTTTGATCAACAATGATTCACAGATTCCTTGGGCCATTGCTTGATATTTAGCTTCAAACCTTGATTTGGCAACTATTGATTGCTTTTTTTCTTTTCCAAGTGACTGTTTTTCACATAGTGGTAACTTGTAGAAAATTTTTTATCTGTGACTGTGAGGGATCCTGCCCAATCAACATCTGTGTATGCTTCTAGTCTGAGTCTTTTTATTTCTCTTAAATGAGATTTCTTTTTTCGTAGTTCTTTTGAGTTTTGAGATATTAAAGAGTTTTCTATGCTGCCCGTAGATACATTTTGTTTAGGAGTATGCATGATTTGATTTAGAACACTTATAACATAGGTAATGTTTGGTTTTGTGTAAGTTAGATATGCTTTCCAATCAATATTTGATAATTCCTTTGGTCGACTTATGGGTTGTCACCTGCTTTTCCAAATTTGCGGCAGTAATTAATTGAACTTTTGAGGGCTTACATCTCATCACACCAATTTCATTTAGTAGATGTAGGATTTAATTTGTTGTGAGAAGAATAACACAGCGTTTTGGCAAGCCATTTCAATTCCTTTACAATATTTAAGTCTTTTGAGATATTTTACTTCAAATTCTTTGGATAGTACATATTTCATATTTCTTATTTTATTGAGATCATAATTATAATCATATTATACGTATGCATTATGAGAATTTTGATTTTTTTTCCATCTTTGAATTTCTTTGTGGATAGCGTTCGATTATCAAAATTGTTTGAAGTTCATTATTTACATGGCTTTGGTGAACCTCCCAAACCATACTCTTGACGGTTGTTTGAACCTTTATAGAGCTTTCATCAACATGTATATATGGTTATCATGGAAAGCTTGATTAAAACTTGGTGGTGGTTTCGTACAGGCTTTTTTTTTTTTTATAATTTTCTTTGTAGGAATGCATTTTTTACATCCAGTTATTGTATGGACCAATTGATGTTGTCTATTAGGGGGATAAAAGTATCTAGACGGTGCTTAAATTTGAAATTTAGAGATAGAGGACATACCTTTACTGCATCATGATTGATCTTGCACATATTCAGATGATTGAGCATGCTTTGGTTAAGTTTGGATCTCTTTCCTTTGTTTTGAGTAGACCTATAGTAATGCTTTAGGTTCATGGGCAGGATTATAATAGGATTGTTGTCTAAGGAGGCCACTTCTATTTAATGGGAAGAGTCGTGACATTTGAAACTTTGTTGGTTGGGAGATTTAGGTTGAGAAAATCATTTTTTTTTGTTTCATTCTAAGGCTTCACCTGAAGATAACCTTGGTTATAGAATCCTTATTGTTTTTGACAGAGGTAACATCCCTTGAGATGATGAATTTTTTAGAGTTGGGATGGTAATACTTATCACCTTTTTGAGTCGAGGTGGCTTCGGAAGGTGCATTTTAGGCTCTTGAATTCTCTTGAATTAATTTTTGCATTTTGATGATTTTGGACATAGGCAACACTCCCAAAGGTTCTTTAGCGGAAGCGGTGAGTGTTTTATGTTAGAAAAAAACTCATTGAGGCTTTTAGTAGGTGATTTATTTTATAGAATCTTATTGGGAAGATGATTTATTAGAAATGTGACAATTAAGGTAGCTTCCCACTAAAAAATTTTTGAAAGATTTCTCTCAAAGAGTAGGGCACTGTTGGCTTTAAGAAGAGGATAAGTTTTTCTTTTTACGATCCAATTTTATTATTGGGTGTTAGCATACTAGGATTCATAGATGATACATTTTTCATTGGAAAAAGAGCATATGGATTGATTAAAAATTTAAAATACTCTTTCCTATCAAACTCAATACATTTAATATTACTGCCAAATTAGTTAAGAATCATTTTATGAAATAGGGAGGATTGTACTCCCATTATATTTATTTTTCATGAGTAAAAGCCAGGTTGTGTGTGAACACTTTTCTATAAAAGCAATAAAACATGTAGCCCATTAATTTTAGTTATGCAGAATGATTCCTAACTTCCTATACGTTAATGTGGATTAGGAAAAATGGCATTAAGATTTTTGAGTGACTTAGGATGTAGGGTGCTCTATAGTATTTGACTATTTGACACACCTCACACTACAACTCTTTAACTTTTATTTTATTGAATAACAAAGGAAACAAAATTTTTAGTAATGTAGGAGATGAATGACCCAACTGAATACGATGGATTCAAATTTGTGCTTTTTTATATTCAAATTTTTAGATGAATGAGGTTGAGGTATGTGATTAGTACTACTTATATAATATTTGTAAAATCATCATTCTTTAGCATACCCAATCATCTTTCTTGTGTTTTGATCCTAAAATAGTTAATGAGTAGAGGATAAAACACTACAATGCAATTCAGGTCAAATGCTCATTTTTGAATATATAATATGCTCATTGATAATTTAGGTAAGTGGAGAATGAGTGGCAATGGAAGGGAAGATATTAGTTTTAAATATCACTCTCCAGCAATAGAGCAACTTGGGTTCCATCAATTACTTTTATTTATGGTTTTTTGGGCATGATATTAAGAAGAGAATTTTGTTGAAGAGTTGGCTAAATGTTATGCTGCTGTTGTATTTATGATCCAAATGATATTTAAACTATTTTCAAAAGCACATGCGAGGTATGAAGTGGAATACTTATCTGATGGAGCCATAGACCACATACCCATTGATTTATGAAATATTATAAGAATGTGCTGAGTTTCTCTAATTTTTTTTAAATTTAGTTAATCCATTTTTGCGGCAATTTTTTCTTCCATAGAAGTAGTATTGGTTTGATGGTGTCTGGATTGGTTTAGTCTGAAAACCTTTTTTTTTTGGGTTGTAGGGAGGCTTCCCTTGAAGTTTCCACCATATATCTTATTGTATGTTTCACCTTTTTGCAATAATTGTAAAACACACCTTCCTGATTATTGGAATTTGGTTGGCCCATTTTGGGTTTTTATGGCTTGATCTTGCTTGGGTTTGGTGTAGGGGCATCGATTAATGCAACATTCTCACGAACGGGTGTTTCTAACATAGCACCATCTCTTCACTATTAATAGTAGAGAAAACTTCAGATAAGTTGGGAAGGGAAGACTTTTTGAAGTTTTTTTAATATATACTTAGTAATATATTTAACCCATCTAGGAATTTATGAATTATTTTTTTTCTACAAAAGTTCATAGCATTGGAGTACCTTCAACACATCACATTTTGATACATTGGTAGTAATAGAGTTCACAAAAATTTCGTTCTATTATAAGATTCGATAACTGAAATAGTACTTTACTTTGTGGTGTGAATTTGTCATAATTTCATATTCTAAGGCGACATTACTTTACATTGGAATATGTTTGCTTCACCATGTCCCATGTATCTTTGGTTGTGTTTAGGAACATGTAGGTTCTATGGACTTAATTGAGGAATCTTCTACATCCTATAGGGAATAATTGGCCGTGTAGGCGTGTACGCTCGATACAGGGCAATAAGGTGGCCTAACTTTCCTTCTATTTTGAGGAAGGTTTTCATAATATTTGGCCAAATAATGTAATTTCTTTCTATCTTTGAATGAATGTTGAAGGTTTTGGTACTCTCCCATTAAAGTTTAATTAGAGCCATTTGTTTGTTCATTGACTTAGGATTTAGAATACATTGCTTTTTCGGAGGGATCTTTATATATTCAAAGAACGCTTTAATGACTTATCCTCAATCTTGATAATCTTCAGTGTAAAGAAGACCACAATAAGGAGTATCAATTTTTACCCCTGAAGCACTGTGAGCTCCTTCTTGCGTGTGACACTGTCTAGGTTGGTGCTCAAAAAGGAGTTATTAGTTCTCTAAATTGGAATCAGAGAAGATTGTTTGCCTACTAGAAAAGTGCTCCTTGTCAGATTTACAAAACTCTGGATGGGCATGTTGATTGGGTCGTTGGAGTCGCCATAGATCCTAATTCTTTGTGGTAGCTTTGTATGTCATTGGTACGGAAGCCAGGTTCATCAATGTGATATTGGAACGAGGAGTCATCATTATTCCTGAGGGCAATGCCCATGCCAAAAGTTCCTGTAGCCTCTCGCTAACAAAGTGATTGAAGTCAGAAGTTAATTCCACCGGCTGTTGTTCGGGAATGGAGTGAACTTCGTGTAGGGAGTCCTGGTCGCGATCATCGTCACTATTCGGATTCTTGTCACCATCTGCCATTTATGCCTTGCTATCTATTTGACATAGCTGAACAAGGAGAACTAGAATAATTCTGTTTTGATTATTGTAAAATGTATATCAAAAAGATATTGTCCGCTTGCTATTCCCCATTTTTAATACTTTGATCCACCTCTTGTGGCTGAACAAAAAAGCAACTGACAAGGCTATTAAAAGCTGTTAATACTATGTTAATACTTTACCAATAGAGTGCAGAGATAAATAGAAAGAAAACTAGCTAAGCTATTATGGTAGTTTTGGAAATCCAAGTAGTGAGAATAGGGCGAGTTTGGTGAGCTGAATCAATTTATTTTTATGGAATCTCATTTTCCATGTGTTACTAGGGCTATGTGAGACGTTAAATGTATTTTTACTAAGTTTTTTGTTTAACTTCTATTCATCTTGAATTTGTTCTGCAACTTTTCTATCCAAAATCAGTCACTGATAGTTTTTTTTTGTCCATTCTATTGGTTAATTTTTAACACTAAGTTGTTCACGCTCAAATCACTTTAGTTCTCTTTTATTATTGTATTTTCAATTTCATAGCATATCTAATATTATTTTCTTTTAATCTATCCTTTCTATTTTTGTCAGAATTTCATCCTAATGTTCTTATTTCTGCATGAAACTTGGTTAGTAGTCTCCTATTGACAGCCCCACGCATTATTGAATTATCATATTTCCTTGTGATTCCATCCATATTTAGTTTTGTGGCGTAAGCTGCGCCATCTTTCTTTCCTTCTATCAGAAGTTCCCAAATATTCTTCTTTTAAAAAAGATGCCTAAACAATTGAATTTATTCAGTTAGAAAGAATGTGGACTCCCTTTTTTATTGGATTATTGAGGTGCTTCTATTGGTCGTGAATCCAATCAGGTCTACTTCCTCTACTAACATGAATTTTTCTTGAGCATTAAATAAAAAATATATTAGATCTGACCTATGGTTAGAAAATTAGAGAGAGACCTAAAAAGACTTGGTTAGAAAGTATTAGAAATTATAGATTTAAATGAGAATTTGACTCTTAATAGGGCACGATGGAGAAAAAGGATTCATGTAGCCGATCCCACAGTGTGGGATAAAAGGCTTTATGGTGGTGTTGTACGAAAATCAAAGACCATACTTTTGAGAATAGTTTCAATTCAGGCTTATTAGAAGTGTGAAAAAAATGACCTGCCAAACCTTTTGCTTCACGTTTTTGTTATTTTTTTTTGTGCGGCTGCATTATGTTTTGAAAAAAGATCATCCCATGATAACTATATAGCATATGTAAATAAGATATATCATTAATGGATATAGAGCTATTGGTTTTTTTAACAAATTTTGACTTTCTATGTTGTAAAATTTACATTAGTCCTTGCAAGACATTTAAAGGACCGCTCTGCCTTCTTTCATCTAAGGCCATGTACTTACCTTCTTTTTTGCCATGTTTGGTTAGACTGTTGTTTTTAAATCCTGCTTAGTATTGCTGCCCAATTGCAATTTGGCATAATAACAAACTACTTGAAATCTTCTTGATTCAAGTTTTCTTTGTTGGTTAATATTAGATATTGGTGCATGGTCAACATATGATTTCGTGCTACTTGAGTGAGTGTTTTTTCATGGCATATTTGGTAAGTTGTAACCAATAGTTTATATACATCACAAAGAATGGTTTTGTTCTTCCTCATGCTATTGATGTCTATGTGCATGATTCCCAGATCTTTTATATATCAATTGGTGAAAAGTGTTATGTTACGTTCTCATTATGTGAGAAAGTATCATTCTTGTTGATATAATTTATTAAGTGGTATATTGGTAAGTACTCAGCATTGATGAAATTAGAAATCTCCTAATGGGCTCTTTGTTCCTAGCTGAATCTGCTTAATTTGGTGGTGAAAAACTGAAAGTAGTTTGACATATTATTGGTTCATGTAGTTGCCATGAATTTATTACCTGACACAAATTACATTCTTTTCTCTATACACATATGATTGCATTCTATTTGAGGAATAGACTGGAAACTGATAGGAAACGCTTCTTGGCTGAAATTTAATTTCAGCAAAGTCCAAACAGTAATTGAGAAAAAATAATGTGAAAAATGGAGAAAAGATTTTTAATTGATGATATATGAAAGAAAACGAAAAAGATATAATAGATCTTCAATTGGAGAGGGAGATCCATCTCTACCAAATCCTTAGCCGCCGGCTAGATCCCAAACTTCCTAGAAAATTCTAATTTCAGCCAAAAAACATACATAACCCTAACCCTAGGAAAATAACCTTCTTAAAGCATATAGAAATAATGCAAATCCTAAAACAATCTCTTCATATTAGTTTTCCCTCATAATTCTCCCCCATCCCCCCTTTGAAAGAGTTTCCCTGGCCCCACCCACGGCAGGAAATAATGGCCCTGTTCCGCCCACTGTATGCAAGAGCCGGTACAGGAAAGGACCAGCAAGGCTGGTCCAAGAGGGACCTGGTCTAACAGAAACCTTTAAGAGTATGTAAACTAAATTGTTGAATGCAAATTTTCCCTCTAGCTCTATTTTATATCTTGTATATCATATCAAAATATGATTACATGACATTTCTGTTCGTTCTGTTGGGAAACATACCCATCTTTAATGAAGTATAGGATTTCGCATTGAGCATATCTGCTTTTCCGGAAGCATTATAAACCTGTAATATTCACTTTATTTGGTGATGAGATAAATCAAATATCAGAGTAAATTAGTTTCAGGCTTCACCTTTGACTTATTTGTATGTTCCCATTGTTGAAGTATTCTTTCGTGCATAGCTATAAGAATAAACTACGAAAATAAAATCTTAGGAATGATTGCTTTATTACCTTGTTGTGACGTAGTTATTAAGATTTCCTATTTGAGTGCTGCTTGATCATGGAATATTCGAGTTCGTAAATATAGACATCAACTTTTGGACCATAGGTTTGCATGCATGTTGGAAATTGAATGCTCTATTTAAATCTGTAATGGCTAGAGATTTATCGAGCATTTCACGTTGCTAGTTCTGGATTTTGCTTTTTATGACATCTCAATTTTGTGTAAGTTCACTATAATCTTGATATCATGGCAAGCTATAAATTAGGATATTTAGGTAATTGCTAGTATGAGTTTGTTTTTCTGTTTCAGCTATTCAAGTCATGTAAGAGAAATTTAAATAATGACTATGCAAGGGTTGGTGAAAGAATGAACTACCATAATTTATTGGCTTTTGCATGGCCACTAGCAAGATTAAGGAGCAAAAGGGAAGGGTTTTCTCTCTCTTTCTCTTTCTCTCATGCTCTTGCTCACACATCTTCTAGCAACCATATAGCTGTTTTAAAGGATTTGGGTGGTGGGGTTGGAAGAAGGCGCATGATGTGTTAATGTAGTCTTCCTCTTTATCCCGTCATACTGCTGCTAGCACTTGCGTTTATCTAACTTCTTTTTCATTTCCCACATGCTACCACTAGCACATGCTTCTACGCAGACATTCTCATACATTTACCTTGTTCTTTGCTCTTACTTTGGATGTTTTCATTTATGATTTTAGCTACATTCAGTTTCATGTTGCTGCAATCACATTCTAGAGTAAGGAGTTGTTGCCCATTATTTCTTGTTGATTTCCCTTTATTTTCCTACTGTAAACTTATTTTCATTTTGATTTTTTCTGTGTATAATGGATCAGATGGATTTATGTTACAGTATGCTGCTTGTTCGAGTTTAGGTTTTGCTGATGTGGCCAACTTGCTTACTATTTGCATGTTATTCCCATGTTCCAACATGGTTAGTATGATTGAAAATTACTGCTTTAAAAGTTGTGTAATTCTTGGTTCATAACTCTATTAATATGCGGATTGCAACTGCAAAGCATCAAGCTCAAGCTTAAGCTTATGGATTTTTATTGGAAATTTCTATAAAATTCAATGCCATAAATAATTGTATGAAGTCTAAACATTTGATGTATGTGTGGCTATGTATCCATATATGTATATATAGACGTAACTATATATCTTCATTAATCTGCACTCTTGTTCTATGAATGTTATATATTGTATTTCATTTTATTAAAGAAATTATATATATTATATAGTGTACAATAACAGGTCCAAATTAACTTCAATGCCATTATTGTATGACGTCCAAATATTTAGGTATATGTGTGGCTATGTATCCATATATGCATATAACTATTTATCTTCATCGAGGAGAGTAGAATGATTTAAATTTTAGGTGTATTTCATTGGGGGTCTTTCACCTCTATATATACAACAAGATTCTAGGTTATTTTTGGTAATTTGTTCATATGAAAACTACTAATTACAGCGAAATTAAGAAATATATTATACAACTTGCACACATTTATTTTTTTGAAAGTATGAGAAAGGCCCATGGATCACCCACTTGTCCACATTGATGGATCATCAATTTGGCAAATCCCACATATTGCCAAGTTGGTCTTCTAAAACTGCTAACTCTTCAAGCTGTAAAGTAGATATTCTCCATGTCTAACTTGGAGGGAATATTATGAAATATAAAACTAGGTAGTCCTTTGGTTAGAATGTTAGCCAACTAATTGTATGTTTAGACACATGAGATACATATGAGTTCACTTCTTAAATTTTCGTTGATGACTTGTCAATTGATTTCTGTGTTTGGTTTGGTCATATTTGATTGGACCTCTCACTAGATCTTACTTTTCTAAGTGATTAGATATTTAATCTTCTAAGTGATTAGATTCTCACCTAAGAAACTGTTGCAATTTATAGTATACCTAAATGTGATTGATCATACCCTATCAATATTTATGTTTGCATCTAAGCTAAGTCTTCTATTTTTTTTAATAAGATTCCTTTTCCCGGTGGTGCTTTAAGGTATAATTTTTTTTCTTATATACATGCATTTATTATAGGATTATGCATAGATTGCCCTAGAACACTTGCTATGTCTGGTCTTTTGTGTAAGTTTTTCTGTTATTCTTTGATACCTCCCTTTGTCAACTTCTAGACTATCAACTCTCTAAGTTTGTGGCAATGGTTAATTAGAATTTCTGAGGGTTTGTGTCCTATCTACCTTTAAGTGTTATATGGGTAGACATACATCTACACATTAAAAAAAAAAAACCTCTACACACGCTAAGGGCACACAAAAAGGTTGTTTTTCTTTTATATTGTGGATTGCTTGACAGTAAACTTCTTTAAATGAGGATGACATATATGAGATTTATGTCCTCAATCATATATATCATGATGAATCTTGCCAATAATTTGTTCTCTTACTTTTTCTGGCTTTTTTGTCCAATGGGAAGTACTTTTTATGTGATCGAGTAGAATTTCCTTCGCATATAAGATTTGTTTTACAGATCGATTCCTTAAGTAGCCAGTTACATGGTATAACCATTTTATATATTTTGTTTGTGTACACAATGCGGTCAACCTTAATTTGTATTGGAACTGTTTTGTCATTGTGAGTTATTCTAATCATTCTCCTCAAATATTTTCAATGCAACCCTGAACAGTTAAAAAATGTTCTTTATGTTCAACATTTAGGTTTTTTTTTTTTTTTTTTAGTAACTGGATAATTTATCTTCCTTTTTTTTGAATGGTTTCATTGCGCATTTATATGATAAATAAAGAAGTTGATACAACGAGAATAGCTAGAGAAGCAAACCTAGGACCCAATCCCTCTTCACATCAGAAGAGAGGGAGGATCGGTTAACTAAACAGAAAGTGCAAATAAGTTAAATAAGGCCACCAACTTTGGCCTTTAACAAACCTAGAAAGAAACCAGATGAATACATACTTCTACTAAATTGAGCTTCATCTAGCAATTCAAACACCTTCCTATTTTTTACTACCACCGTGCAATTCTCATATCATTTTTGAGAATGATTCCTTATTTTCTTGATCAATTTAGGATGATGGGGATGCCAATTTTTAGAAAACAACCACAAAGGTTGGTTAACGTCCCAGTGATCCCAAATATATACAATAAGAATAATAGATCGGCTCCCAAAAATGATTAATTGAATCACCCATATGGTAATAAAAAACGCTTGTTTGAATTAGAATAGCAATAATTACTTTAAATGCACATTGAACAATGTGCATCAACTACGTCATGGCCAAAGTTGTATAGCCATGAGGCCCATGACCCACCTAGATGGTAGATGGGAAACAAGAGCATTAATAAAAGTTACAAATTGGTTTTTCAGGATAGTGTTTTGACGCTAGAAGGTACCCAAATATCAATATGAAACAAAAAAAAAATGATTTTGAAGAAGAGTAAAATTTATTGGAAAAGGCATTATGGTCTTTAGCTAGTTAACAAGCCTCACCATGAATTTTGGAACAATTGATTCCTTTAAATAATTCGGGAATTAGATGCTTGATGTACGGAAAGCATGAGCATTCTAATCTCCTAAGCTATAACATAGTTTGATCCTTAACAAAATTATTAGGGATACTTCCTAATCCATGAGCTTTTTTATTCCAGAAAGTTATTTCATCGAAGTATTTCATCAAAGTATATAGTCGATTTATTTCTTTAGTATTTTCAATCATCTTCTCTGAGTTCTAGTCCTTAAAAAACACAAATGGATAGAAAAAATATTGAACAATTAGAATCTTTAGAAAGTTCACTAATAGAAAGAAGATTATATGCAAGTTTGGACATATGTAAAATATTTTTGAGGGTGATGTTTTTTGAGATTTTAATATGTTCTTTGTCACCAATGGGTTAAAAATTTACATCAGCAATTCTAATTTTTTCCAAGCTATGACATGAATAATATGAATTGAAAAAAAAAAAAAAAACTAATCATATGGCCATAAGGTCTTGAGTATATGATCCAAGGACTTATTTTTTCAGGAACAGAAAGTGCTAAAAAATCTCTACCTACTTGTGCCATAGAATCAATAGGAGTATCAGACGAGGAATGAGTTTTTAGCAGTTTAAGAATATTGTTTATTTACTCATTGCTAATTGCTAATTGGAGTAGCTCCGTTGGCATATAAGATTAGAGAGAGTTGTCTTAGATGATTTGGTCACATAAAACATCGGCAGATGACTTGGTTAGGAGAGTAGACATATTTGATCTAGCTTATGTTAAGAAAGATAGAGGTATACCTAAAATTACTTTATTAGAAAGTATTTGAAATAACATTTTTATTAGATTTAATTGAGAATTTAACTCTTAATAGAACATAATAGAGAAAAAATTCATTTAGTCAATCCCACGTAGTGAGATAAAGGCTTGTTGTTATTGCTAATTGAAGTGTTTTGACATCATGTGATGTTGGAATGTTTTGCAATGTGGGTTTGATAGATTGCTATTGAATGATTTGCTCTGTATCTTGGAGCATGTTGCTCGTGTATGATGGTGTTTTCCACAGTATTCACAATCCAAGTTATTTATCACCATTTCATTAATTTGAAAATCTCATGCGGCTGTGTTGTGCTTCAGAAGCGACCAATGTAGAGCCTTCAACAGGACTAATTACTCCAATGATTTTTTTCCTAAGCATCAATTGTGTATGTCTTTCTTTCTTCGCACTCCCACAAAGACTTCTTTAATGGGAAGAAGGGGATTTTTCCAATAATTCAACCACGACCTTTATTCCTTTCAATATTTAAACCTGTAAGAAACATAAAGTGTGACTAACGTCGATCATCTTTTTATAATAAGTGCATGCCTCTGTAGATTTTTCACTTGTAATCATTGAATAAGTATAAGTCTTGCCAAATTCTTTTTAAGTGAATTGGAATATTTTATTTTAAAATCCTCACCTTGAAGGATCTCACCCAAACGTATAGTTAGTTTATGCACTTGAGATTGAGGCATACGAGTGTAATACTATTTTTTTAACTTTAACATTCAAATTTCATAATCCTTAACATCTCTTTTATTTTTAAATATTCGTATCATGTATGCATGTGTGATGTTATTTTCTCCTGTCATAGGCGGAATAATCATTCTTCTAGCAACTTTTTGCCTTGCACCTCATGATCATAATGGTGTTTTGTTTCATGCATTAGGATTACTTATAGATAAAGTTTAATTATGTTTCGTAGTAATTTTAATCATTCATGAAGCACATGAAGAATAAAGGATGACAAAAAAAAAGAATAAAGGATGATAAAATGATAGATAGAAGCCCACTTTATAATTTTTTTTTTGTCACGACCAAAACCATGAAATATATTCTGAATTTGATGGCCATTTCATTTAATTACAAGTCATTTAAAACGCTACATATTGAAAATATCAATTGCAAGATTAATTTGTTCCTTCTAATTAATGATCATTTACTTTTTGGAGTTCTTGAAATCATGTTTGTTTTTTTTTAATGGTTTTTTAGAGAATGGATAGCTATGATTTACATTTGTTGCCATAAAAATAAATAAAAAATAGGATGAAAATGAAATTTCTCCTAATATGAATAAAGGTCATATATGTGTGTGGTTTTGCAAATTTATTAGTCTAGAACAGTTACTTGTATCCTATGATGCACCGACACACCTCTTGAAGAGAGAATGTAGTGTCGGACACGACATACACATTTTCGATTAAAATAATATTTAAATTTAACCCGACACGGCTGGGACACGTGTGACCTAATTTTTTATGATAAAATTATTTTAATTGTAAATATATGATATCCAATGAACTATTATGAGAGAGAACTAGAGAATTAGAAAAGTATAGAAGTAAATAGATACATTCTTTGTGATTTAGATTAGAGGATAAAGAAATATTATGGGAGAGAACTAACGAACTAGAGAAGTAAAAAAGATACAAAGAAGAACCAACTTTCATTATATGATATCTAATGAAATATTGCAAATCTTTCTCTTGTTGAACCAGAGTTGAAAGCAGTGATATTCAATGATGATGATATTGAAGGCAAAAAACAAACCTCTAAAGATAATCCTAGTAGTTGAAGCTTGAATGCTTGATGTTGTATTAAGTGATTATTTGCTTATATTTTTATTGTTGTACTAGACATTTTGTACTAAATATTTTATATTATAAGCTAGACAAGTTATCATGTCATTCATTTATTATTGTTTGTCATTTTTAATATGATGTTACATTAGTATTTATACACTATATAAAAATGTAATGCCGTTTTCGGGCTGTACCCGTGTCCTATATTTTCAAAAAAGGTCATGTCCCGTGTCCATGTCACCGTGTCCGTGTCTGTGCATCATAGCTTGTATCTTATTTCTCTCACAAGGCTTTCCTAACTAGAATTATACCATTATTAAACAAAAGTAATGAGGAATATTAATCATTGCACAAAACTTCCTGACCTAACGAAGTGATTTGATACAATAACAACATCAAGCCTTTATCCCACTACATGGGTCGGCTATATGAATCCTTTTTCTCCATTGTGTTTGGTTAAGAATCAAATTCTCATTTAGATCTAATAAAGAAATGTCATTTCTAATATTTTCTAACCAAGTCTATTTAAGTCTACCTCTACCTGTCTTAACATAAGGTTAAATCTAATACATCAAGCAACTAGCAAGATGCCACTTCGGATTTTTTTATTTTTTTTTTTTTTTTTTGACTCAGTCCCCTACAAAAGATATGGCTATATGTGGGACACTTATAGAAAGTAACAATATTTATCTTAAACTACCATAATATAGCCAAGTGGCCAAACCATCAAAATCTCAATGATAGTCTGAATAACACGTATTATAGACTATCAACTTCTAAGGGTGTGCCTTCACAACACCTATTGTGTGCAAGGATAGCGTGTGGTCAAAGGTCAACTCATATTACGGTTGAAACTATCAAGTTAGCTTGTTTAAGTGATTCTATTAATCTAAGGCCTAGATTTACTTTTTTCATCCCAATTTTATTTCATGTATTTCTTTAGAGTCAAAATCACATCATTACCTGGTCAACCACTTAAGAATTAAATGTGAATCACTAGACATTTGCAAGAGATTGTAACCTGATGTATGCTTTTTGCTTATGATATTTTTCTTGGTGATAAGACTAGAGAGGGAGTTGAAGTAAACCTGAATTATGGAGATCAACCTTAGAGTCTAAAGGCTTTTGTTTGAGTAGATCTAAAACTGAATGTGGAGTGTAATTTTTGTAATAATAGATCTAGTGAGAGGATTGTGACTTTGGGCGATCAAGTCATTAATAAGAGTGCACGTTTTAGATATCTTGAGTCTATTGTTTAAAGTGGCAATGAAATAGATAGGGATATTATTAGTAGAATTCAAGTTGGATGGTTGAAGTGGAGGAATGCATCGGGCTTGTTCTGTGATAGAAAAGTCCCCTCAAAATTAAGAGAAAATTTTATAAGATGGTGGTGAGACTTGCAATACTTTATGGTGTAGAATATTGACCATTCAAAGAGAAGCATAATATTAAGTTAAGTGTTACAGAGATGAGGATGCTCGGGTGGATGAGTGGTTGTACTCTTAGAGACAAGATACAAAATGAGGATATACGTGAAAAGGTTGGATTAGCTCTAGTGGAAGATAAGATTAGAAAGAGTCACCTTAGATGGTTTGGTCACATGAAACAATAACCTTCCAATGACCCGGTTAGGAAAGTAGATGTGTTAGACCTAAAAAGATTTTGTTAGAAAATATTACAAATGGTCTTTCCTTATTAGATTTAAATGAGAAATTGACTTTTAATAGGACACAATGGAGAAAAAAGATTCACGTAGCCGACCCCACATAATGAGATAAATGCTTGATGATGTTGTTGCTGTATTGCTTTAGAGTGAAAATCACATAATTAACTGATCAATCACTTAAGAATTAAATGTGAATTTCATCAATTTTTATGATGATTTAACCATTCTTTAAAAATGTGAAAACTACAAAGATGCTCAGTTGACATTTGGAGATTTTGTTAAAAGACTAATCTTACTCTTGGACATTACTAATCAAATTATCGAATACATACAAAATATCTTAAAAAACAAATGTATTTGATTCCAAGCCAGTTGTAAAAATCTACAGTTTAATAAAATTTATCTTTTCATGCAAACATGGTATCCACTATAAAAATTTTGATATATCCGATTGATGATCAAACTATCTAGAATATTTTTGAAATTGTGTTTGCCACTAGTTTTTATGATGTTAGAGAATGAGTTTGATTTTGCATTTGAAGGGCCATAACTTTTAACAACATAAAAATCCACTTTATAGAATAATAAATCTCCTTCCAGTAGGAATTATATACATGACTGTATGTTTGTGTGCGTATGCTTAATGATTAATATTAGACTTAGTAATATGTTAATAAAGTAAAAGACATCCGTATCCTTTAGTTTCTTACTGAAGGTTTTGGATCTCGTCTTCTTTTTGGCTGAAGGGGGAGGGTGTTTAAGGAGTGGGAGAGAGTGAGCAGTTTATGTTGAGAGAGAGAGAGAGAAGTGCTTTCTTCAGCAGTGTTTTACTAGTTGATTGTATATGCTTATTTTTGTTAATATGCGTAATATCTAATGCTAAACTGCTGATTGCATGAGCTTCCGCCCCATAAATTGCTATTTTTTTTCCAGGAAGTTATCAAATCTGCATCAAGCTTCAAAGAGCCCAAGGATGATAGTTATATTCGAACCGTCCTTAATGAAGGTTCAATTGCCGCTGTTTTGGATTTGGATAAGGATAAGATTAATGCTGGCATTGATAGCTACGCTGGTCAGCCAGATGTGACAGATATAACCTTTGTTCCATCCTCTGCTTCATGCTCTCTTAGCGCCAAGAAGGTTGAGATCAATTTGAAACTTGATGTTACTGATGATCAAGCCTTAGAAAGCTCAGATTTTCTTCCTCGCCTTTTTCCTGATGGAAGACAGTGCATCATGGATGATTTTCCGCAAAATCAGCTAAAATTAAATGATTGCTCTTCAACTATTCCTGATGAATCTAAAGCTTTGACGAATCCGCAATATGAGGAACAGAAACCGCAGGTTTTGCAGAAAGATTCAGATCATCAAGAATGTTTGAACACTTCAGGGAATGAACCAGTGCTAAATGAGGTGATTACGGACTCTGTGGGCTCCTTGAAAAGATGGAAATGTCCTGTTGAATCAAACCCTTCTCCTAAAACTTATTGCACTGCATCAATGAAATTAAATGGTGCAGAGCCTAGCCATTCAGCCCCTCTTGTTCAAAAGACAGTAGGCACCGGAAAAGATTTACCGAATTTGACAGCTCTAGTTGGCTCCAAGTCCAAAGGTTGCAATAACCAGAATTCAGCTGCTAATGCAGTATCATCCTCTCTTTCTGGGAAGGCTATTCATGCCTTCAAGCAGCAGAGAGTAAAGGTAACAAACAGTAGCGCTGGTGCTAGAGATACTCCAATGAATGCTACATCTACTGAGAAAGATGAACAGGAGGTTCTGCCACAGTCAGCACTAGCTCATCCTACTGGAGTAGAATTTATGGGATCAAAATCTTTACAAGCTGCCAAAACCTCTCATTTCTCTGCCTCCAAGAATTGTTCCTTGGATTCAAAAGAACAGCCATCCGGTCCATCTTGTCAAGCTTCAGCTGAAACCCCTACAACATCTTCAGCAGCTGCTGAGGCAACTACATCAGTAGTGATTCAAAGTCCATCCAACCAACTTAAGTCGACAGCTTTAGGTTCTTCCCAAAAAAATGACAAGACAATCCAACCTAGTACTCAGTCAGCATCAAAATTTCTTAGTCACTCATTGGTTATGCAAGCATCAACTTCAACAAATGCAGCTACTACGCTGAGTGATGAAGAGGTGTGAAGACTTTTGGCTTTTTCTGTGACTTTCAGAATACAACTGTGAAACCAATGATTATTAATGTTTTCTAAACTTTTTTTTTCTGCCAGCTTGCTTTATTGCTGCACCAAGAATTAAACAGCTCACCAAGAGTTCCTCGAGTACCTCGGATCAGACAAACAACAAACGCACAGTTTGCGACTCCAAGTACGACAAGTGTGCTATCAAAACGTTCATATTCGGGGGGAAGAGATCAAGTTTCGGTTGGTTGCTTGGTGGAAAATATTGTTCATTACAAATTAAGTTGAAGCTAGGATAGTTCTTTGGTGCAATGGCTAATGCCTGGTTCAATAACTAGCAGCTTGACATGGTTCAATTTTATGGTTTATTGAAATTTCCTTATTTTCTTCTGCAGTTTTTTAGAAGAAAGCACAAAGAAGCTTCCAAAGAGAGCTCTCGCCATTCACGAGATGCAATCAGTGAAGGCAGGAAGGTGGGTATACATTCTCCTGAACCCAAGCAAGATGAACCAGCTGTCTTCAGTGATGGCTTTTCTAAAAGGGGTAAAGGGAGTAGACCTTACGATACCATGGAATCTTCGAAAACCAATCTTTCAGGTAGTTCTATTGAAGGTGCAAACAGCTTCCCTGCCTCGTCTGAAGAGAATGGAGCAAGAACATCTTTACAAACCTCACCAGCTAATGTTGATGGGGATGCAGCCCTTGTAGGCCGTAGTTTGCCTTGTATGTTTTTTATTCCCATTACCTAACAAATAAGACGTTTCTGACTATTTTCTGATTGTGTTGATTTACACTTCTGCAGGCTTAATTGATGAAATCATGAGCAAGGGTAAATGTTCCACATATGAGGAGCTTTGCGATGCTGTTAGGCCGGTACAGTGCACATTAATGAGTTCTCCTAATACCACTTAGTTTTCCAATGTTTATTTTTCTTCTGTTTCTCATTATATATCTTTCTTCAGTACTGGCATAGCCTAAGGAAGCCAAATGGAGAGCGTTATGCATATTCTAGTCACTCTCAGGCTGTTCTTGACTGCCTAAGGAATAGGAGCGAATGGGCTCATCTCATTGATCGAGGTCCAAAGGTAACTGTTGCTAGTTATTTTCTTCTTTATGCTTTTAGAACGTATCCCTTCACACAGCTCAATTTGGTCTGTTGGTTGAAGCTTAGGTTACCAACTAAAAGATTTGGGTTCGAGTCTTGTGTATGCGATGTGTGTTTGAATCCGCCTTAATTGGCCTAACTGTCCCAAAAAAGAACGTTTCCCTAAGAAACGTCTTATTTACCCATCGCTTGATTTATATATAATCTTTTCCATCAGACAAATGCGAGCAAGAGGAGAAGAAAGCTCGATTCGGAGACTCCTGCCATGGAATTGGAGCATGAGAACAACAGCGGCAACCCTCACAGAGATGATTTTCCTAAGGGAAAACGAAACGTGCGGAAGCGCCGGCTGCTCGAGCAGAGGTCAGGCGGTGTGAAAGATGCTAAAAATACACGTAGCCAAGGCAACTTATCAGATGATGATCCTGCAGCCCTATCTCACTCAAGCAATGAGGAAACTGAATGCCATTTAAGTGATGATAATGGAGCTGACGATGCATGCAGCTTGAGCTCTGGTGATTCTGATTGAGAGACCAGTACCAGGTAACTTTTTACCTGGCGATAGTTATGAAGCAGCTTTGTTAATAATAGAGCTGGCAGTGCAAATACTGATGTGTAGAGCTTTTAGCTAGGAGCTCAAAACTTACATGATTGTTTGCCTTAGATTAGTGTCAGAATAGAGCGATATTTTGTTGTAGGATTATGTCCTTCCCAATTCTGTTTTGGGTCAGGGATATATAGTGTAAACTAGGGTAACAGAAATCGACTAATGTATATTTGTAATCTTGTATGTAAAATGTGATAGTCATCTTATGTTTTACATTTTAGAACGCAGGATATAGCTGATGAACTGCAAGTGAACATGAAGCAGTGGATCATAAGGTGAGTTCTTTGGAACCCAATTTGAGTATCAATTGTCAGATTTAAGCTTTCTTGCTAGAAATTATCAAATTTGAATGTAACTTTTTCTTAAGCACTTTTAGATAAGCTATATTGAATTGCTTCGTTTTTTTACGGCTTTCTTACTGCTTCTTGAAGCAACTTTTTAGTAGAAAAATATTATTTTTCTATTAAAAAGCTGCTTCAAGAAGCAGGAAGAAAGTCATCTTAAACAAAGCCTGAGTTGCTTGTTTCACAGATTGGTAGGAGATTTTTGGAGATATTGATCTAGGGGTTGTTTGTTTTGCTAAAAAGGAGTGTATAATAAATTTGAGAAATATAGCTATAAAAAATATAATATAGGTGATGTTAGTGGCTGGTGGTAATGATTGTGGAGTTAGCTTATAATGTTTAGGATTTAACTAAAAATAGATGAAATTTGAATACATTAAAAACAAATAATGGGGTGAATTTAAGATTTATGCAAATTTTATTATTCGTCTCTTTTTTTATCAAATTAAACATTTAAATTTTAAAATTTTTATATTTAGAATATTGTATAATTAATTTTTATCAAATCAAACAGCCCTGAAAAAGTGTGATTTTCCTTGAGTGGCTCTTACTTGAAATCTTCTGTTTTTAACCCCAAATTTAGCGTATGCATGGAATAGTAATGGTTTACTTTGGTCAATTTAGGGATGGGTAATTAATTTAACAGCACGTAATTACTTAATAAATGATTATTTTGGCTTAATAGATTAATTAGATTTAAATTGAGATATTAAGATTATTAGTGTTTATATTCAATTATTCATGTAGCCGACCTCATATAATGGGATAAAAGATTAATGTTGTTGTTGTAGTAGTAGTTGTAATAGTATAATTAGTTAATTAATTTAGCAATTAAAACTTGATTTTTAATTATACAAACAAGAGTATCAAACTTTGATTTATGATCTCAATGGTGGAAGTCGAAAATGTAAATTTATATTACTATTATAAAAGAGGCTTCGGTTTAGTAAATCTCAGCCTTCTTTTTTCACTAATTTTAATTATTCATATTAAATTTTAATCTTCCATTTTAATTATTATAATTATTTTATTAATGTCAAATATACTCTATTAATGACTGGTTAATCACTTTTATATATTTGAGGGATTTAGTATCTGATTAATCAAATTTTCCTTATTTCTTATTTGGACTCTTTGGCTTGCCCTGAACTTCCTGTTCTCCGCCGTTATATCTTGTAGGTTTATTCTTCGATTATTTTGACCTATTAAACTTCTACTAAAACAATTCATCTTTCTTACACTCTATTTAGTATTTATTTATAGATTCTATAATAACCTTTCATATTCTGATTCCTCTTCCTTCGTATACTCTCATTAAGCGCCATGGGCGGAAAGCGAAACGGCAAAGTCGCCCAAATCACAATCGCCATTAGTTCCAATTACGGCATTCTTGTTCGTTTTCGTTACGAATCCACTTTCTTAACCCTTTTATACCTAACATTCACAATAAATGATGGAAGACAAATTATGATGGAAGATGAATCGCCAACAATCATTCCTCAAAAGTGTTTTGTAGCTACGCCTAGATCCAGCAAGTATCGTGATTCTATTGTCGATCAAGAAGCTCTTCCGAGATGAAGAAAGACGGAATCATCTTCACGACCTCCCTTGCCGCCGCGTCTTCACTGATTTCCTCTTTCTTTACCTATGATTATCGAGCCGGATCTCCCTTTGGTAACGAGAGTTATCCATCTTTGGAGTCGAAGGAGGCGAGATCTGGATCGGCGAGAGGCGGAGACAGTGATGATAAGTTTGCTCCGAGTTTTGAAGGGCTGAGGTTTATTGAAACTCTGGTTACGGCGCACAGGTGATAGACGCATTAGAAGTGTTGTTTGACATGATTTACTCTATATTTTAATCATTTTTTTAACCCATTTTTCTGTTCTTTTTCTGACAGTGACTTTGGGCAAATTATTACGTTCGGACACCGGACGTGTTTGGAGCACAATGAAAATGCGCCACATCAATTACTATTCGGTACTGAGCAATACCAAGCAGTACCGAGCTCTGCTCGGTACCGAGCACTTCACAGTACCAAACTCAGTACTGTTAATACCGAGCGTAGGCTGTTTCAGGTGTCTGAACCCAATAATCTCCCGTGACTTTGATATCAATATCCTACTAAAATTAATATTTGGAGGTTGGCGTGAGATAAATACAAGTTGTTTGAAATTAGAAGGGAGTATTTTGATATTGAAAATAATATGAGTTGTTTCTTTCTTTATTGTTCTAGATTTCTACTTTGGATTTGATTAGAATGAACTAATTTGATATAAATCAATTTTGCTTAAATGTTCTTCATTATTAAAAAAAAGAGGACAGACATCAAAGATGGACAAGCAAGACAAAAGAAGCCGAGGAGAAGAGCTTATAAGAGGATGCAATACAATCGACAGTTCGTTACTGCATTGGTTGGTTTCGAGAAGAGAGGGCCCAACTCATCTAATTCTATTTGTTATCTTCTGTCTTCAAAATCTTTGCTTCTTTAGGGATTTTTGGATATTTTTATGAAATACATTGGTTGGTTGCAAAGCCTAGCTGAAAATTCTTTCTACATAATTATTAATTTAATCATTTATTATATTTTAAGTCACTTATTTCCCTCGAGTGGTTCCTACTTGAAATCTTCTTTTTTACATTAAATTTGGCTTATGATTGTAATAGTAAGGGTTTATTAGTGCTTCACTGGTTAAGTTAGGGATGGGTAATTAATTTAACAGTACGTAATTACTTAATAAATGCTTATTTAGTCTAAGTATATTAATTAGATTTAAATTGAGATATTATGATTATTACTGTTTAGTTGCAATAGTATGGCTTTGAGTAATTAGTTAATTAATTTAGCAATTAAAATTTAATTTTTAATTATACAAACAACAGAATATCAAATTTCACATTTACGATCTCAATGGTGGAAGTTGAAACTACACATCACTAAAAAGAAATAAATAGAATATGAGCAAGTCTTGGGAGCTATTTGCAGCATAGCTTTTGGTCATTTTTTTATTATTTTTTAAAATAATTTTTTTAGCAAAAATTTATGCATAAAAAAAATATTTTAAAAAGCAATAAAAAATCTGTGAAGCTTAAGTTGGCATTATTTGACAGCCATGGGAAAGCACTTGAGCTGCTCGAGAACTTCGCTCCCAGATGACAAGAAATACCGCGTTGGTAAAAGAAGAGAGAGAGAGAGAAGCCATTACAATGTCAAATAACCACTGAAAGCAGATGGAACATATTTCGACAATTTTCTGCTATCAGAAAGCCCTAAATTGGATCAGCCACTTCCTGATTGATCATAAACATACTTGATTGTAACTGCTTAATTAAAAGCTCATATAACAGTCAAAATAAAGTAAGATTATGAAGATTAAAGCTTCATTTGGGACGACTTTTTTATTACTTCTTAATACAGTTTTTTTAATATAAAAAAATTAATTTTTATATTAAAAAACAGTTTTAAGAAGCAGTAAGAAAGCTGTTCAAAACAAAGCCTAAATTTTCAGTTGTTCATCAAAGTGCAGGTCAATAATAGAAGAGTGATCCCACGCAAATCAAGACATCGGTGAGTAGCAATCCAAGCACATCAAAAACATATTTGGGGGCAAATAAACCCCAAACCTGCAAAAATGGGCAATCAAACCTTCACCTATTAGCATCTCAAGATGAATGAGACAGTAATTAGGAGGAAAAACAAAACAGAAAAAAAGGTAATGATTGTAGTAGACGCAAATATTAAAAAACTTGCCATCAAATGCCGCCTTTGAATTGTGACACATATTATTGTCAAAGTAGTTGTGAAAGCGGTAATAAGCCCATATATCAAGAATGCCTGCACCAAAAAGAAGAAGAAGAAAAAAAAAACTCAAACCAGTTAGTCATTCATAAAAACCAAAATGCTACAAAAGCCAAAACAATAATAATTATGAGCTCAGTTCAAATAGAAGAAACTGTGAGCTGCAATAACATGAAATATATAACATCCACATTTAGACTTTAAAATGATAATATTTTGCAAGTTTGTTCCTAATTTATTGGAACATTTGCAAGTAATCACCCTTGGTTCAACTTAGATTGTTCATGCGGGTAGTCACTCCAGATGCATTAAATGGTAGGACAATACCGTGGGATGAGGAAATTTGTGGAAGTGCGTGCCATCGGCCTGGCGGCAGTTTAAACTATACAAAATCAATGAGTGGCGTTCGGGTGAAAGCCTTCAAGTGTCCTGATACGTCAATTCCTCCTAAATCGGCCCAACCGGCTCGTCCAGGGCTGATTCTTGTGTATAGGAGGCTCGCCCAGGGCCGTTTCTTGTGTATAGGAGGCGGGATAGTCCCGCCTCCACTATATTTGCCGTCCACAATAGTGGGTCCCACTATTCCAATTGAGTTCAAATTTAAAAGCCAGGGGGAGGCTAAGGCTTTGAGGGAAAATTGATTTGGAAGGTTTATGAATTAAATAGCATGAGGTGTTTTAGGGTTAGGGCATGCTTAGATTTGATTTCCATTGAAGTTCTTTGGCGTCTTGGGCTCTATACTACATTGTCTAGAGATTTGGGAGGGATGGTCCTAATCTCGAATCGAGGATCACTTGTATCTTATTTTTGTGTTCATTTGGCTTTGATTCTCTTATTTCAATCCATCGTTTTGAGGCTGATTTCACCTTATTCTCGCTGTTTTTACCAATTAGTGATAGGTTTGCTTGCGAATTCAAGTATTTCCTATCATGTCCATGTAGGGTAAGGTCCGTTGAGAGAGGAACACGTAGAAGGAAGGTTTGGCTGCTGCTTACCCACAGATAAATCCCATTTTCATTCACTTGACTGCTTCGATTTGTTTCAATTGTAGCTTTCTTGTAATGCCAAGTTCGATCACTTCTATAAAAGAGGTTGTATGCTTTTTTTTTTTAAAAAAAGAGGTTGTATGCTTATTAATGTATCCTGAGCCAAATTAATAGAAATTTATAGTCATCTTATGCTCCATTGCACACATACAAAAACCACATTAATTTTATATCCTGGATAAGGGTCAACAATTAGATGGCATAATGATGATCATGTAGGCTCAGAAATTTTGCGCCCAGCACTTATAAGAAAATCAATGTTTCGGGCCAAATTTTCTAATGACAGATTGAATTGCAAATAAGACATTACCTAGATTTTGCTTTTTATTTTATGAGGACTTTAAGATATAATTCTAAGTTTCCCATAAACGCAAGCTCCTATGATTAATTATCCCTCTCGATGATCAGAGAGAAATTTCAATTAAGGCTAGTAATTAGATTAAGTGCTTAGCTTATAGTCCCAACGATTTTGTTTTTTGAGATCCGAGAAAAATTTATCACTGTCAGCCTAGTGGGTATGATTGAGGGGAATGATTTGGTGATTGACACATTTATTAGAGCACATGTGAGGGTGTTTGCTTTTGATGTGCTTGCATGATCTTTGGGCACTTGTGGTTGAGTTGAAATTTGACATTTAGGGGGCACTTGAAATTATCTGGATTTAAATGTTTTGCATTAGAAAGCACGAAAAGTTTCATTTTGAGATTTGATGTTCCCCCTTGCGTATGTGTTGTGGATCTAATTGTGATAGTTGCCATTTTAGATTTTGGTGTGTTCTTCAGTAAATCAATTTCTTCTGCATCCAGTTTGCATTTTGCTCAGGTGGAGTCCACAGGGGATATTTCTTTGCTTATGAATTAAGGTGTCATTATAGTCCTTTTAACGCCAATTTATTCTATCCACAGTTTTGAGTGTGCTGGAGCTCCGAAGGCAAAGAGGAGGTTTTATCTGTGCTCATAGGCGACTTGTTTTTGTAGATGATGTTGAGTTTGTTGTTGTAGGAAAATTTGTGTTTGCTACCAGAGGTAATGACCATTGTATGCAATCATATTTGCAGCGAGACGGCAAAATTTACACAAATTTCTTTTTCTTCTCTTCTTTTTTTTTTCTTCCCTTCTCATTTTTTTTCTTTGTTTCTCTTTTTTTGTTTTCTATTTTTGGTTTATATGAAAATTTCAAAGAAGAGGATTAGAGATAGAGAAAGTGAGTTGGAGAATAGTGAAGAGGGAGAGTAACAACAACAACAACATCAAGCCTTTGTCCCACTACATGGGGTCGGCTAAATGAATCCTTTTTCGTTATTGTGTCTTGTTAAAAGTCAAATTCTCATTTAAATCTAATAAAGAAAGATCATTTCTAATATTTTCTAACCAATATCATTTTTAATATTTACTACGTGAGAGGGAGAGTGAGAGAAAGAAAAAGAGGTAAAAAGTTAGAGAGATAGGTGTTGTTTGGTGGTAGGACGTAATAGGATTTTACCTAAATTCTGCCAAAAGACGAATTGAAATCCCTGCTAATTTGAATCCCACTTCTCTCTTTACATGCCACAATCTCCTCGATGCCTTTGAGCTCTTGTTGCAACTTCCTTCTTCATCATCGGCGGTATTAGCAGGAGCAAAGGGGAAAAAAAGCAATAGCTAGTGTGCTGGAGATTGATAGTGGTGAGTTTTTACAGGTCTAGGCGAAGAGAAGGATCGTAGTGGGGCAGCTATCTGAGCTAAGGAGAGAAACAAGGGTTATGCAGATTGTGCGCGCTTGTGATAGGGTGAGAGGAAAAGCAACAAGATCGTGAGAGAGCAAGGCATAGTGTCGCACGAACTTGGTGAGAGAGAACAAGAGGTAGATGGAGTGTATGTGAAAGAAGTTTGTTCGAGAGAGAGAGGTGAATGTGAAAGAGGCATGATATGGGTTTTCATTTCGTATTTTTTGTTTTGCAATAATTGGGTCAAACAAGACATCGTAATGAGGCGTGAGAGGACTATGATGACGAGCAAAAATGCAACGGAATTTCTTCGGTTGAAGATGAGGGATTTGCAAGTCCTCTAAGGATTTTTTTTTTAACTCAAATTTAATCACATTAAAAATAATATGTAAATAACTCGTCTAATTTCTCATCTCTTGTGCAATTCGATTTCATGTTTTTGCCTTGCATGCTAATAAACATTATCATTTTCTAGCGCGGCAACTCAAACAATATGGGTATCATTTTCAAAAAAAAAAAAGGTATATCATTTTCAGGCATATCCTTCATTCCATAAACATCAACACGATCTGTTTTGCAAAATGAGTGACAATTGAGTACTTTCATTGTGGGTGATAATTTAGAATAAAATAAATCTTGTCCAAATCTAAACCCGTTGCCCGTCATTTCCATCATGTTTGATTAAGTTTGGAATAGATTATAGAGGTCAAAAACATGCAGAATATAGTGATTTAGTATCAGCATTATAGATGAGCAAAGCTTTAATGGTATCAATATTTTGTTAGGTCATCTACATTTAAATCAAGTGATAATTAACTTTTGTGAAATACAAGACTTGGAAATCACAGAATAATTGCATGCATCATTATTATTTGATAGTTTGTTCAATAATTAAAGAAGAAGAGCTGATACACAATCTAGTCAAAAGACATCTTAAGAAAAAAAAAACTGAAAGACTTGTAAGAGTTGTAGGTTAATCAACTTAATCGCTTGTTCATAAGAATATAGAAAGAAACAAGGATAATGCATACAATACCTGATTTTCAAGATCATTACCTGCGTAAGGTTGATGAAGAGAAGACCATCTGGATGTTTTTTCTTAGAAATCTGGTGCTTGTATAGAACAAGAAAGGGAATCGACAAGACAGGAATGATGTGGGATACACCAAATGTATCAATTGCAAGTAGAATACCTTGCTGAACTATATTGAAATGTTCAAACCTAGATGAGAAGACATCAATAACATCAGCAATCAGCCAATCACTTAAAAGCAGTAGTTTCAAGTCCAACAAACCAATGTTGTGGATGAGGTAGAGAAGCCTCTCAAACTATCTGTAACAAACACTAAATGCAATGCATCTTACAAGAAATTGTAAACCCTAGATCACAGATACCAAAAAAACCCAAATTCATCTGAACTAACCCGATAAATGCAGCCGCATACCGGAGGCCATCAAATGTACACCTGCAGGAATATTATCTCATTATCCACTCTGCAAATGCACATGGAATTCCTACAAGTTTTTGCATTTATTAGAGCACATGCAAGGGTGTTTGCTTTTGATTTGCATAAATGATCTTTGGGCCCTTGTGGTTGAGTTGAAATTGACATTTAGAGGGCACTTGAAATTATCTGGATTTAAATGTTTGCGTGAATGTTTTGCATTAGAAAGCACGAAGAGTTTCATTTTGAGATTTGATGTCCCCAATTGCGTATGTGTTGTGGATCTAATTGTGATAGTTGTCATTTGAGGTTTTGGTGTGTTCTTCAGTAAATCAATTTCTTCTGCATTCAGTTTGCATTTAGCTTAGGTGGAGTCCACGGGATATTTCTTTGCTTATGAATAAAGGTGTCATTACAGTCGTTTTAACGCCAATTTATTCTATCCACAGTTTTGAGTGTGCTGGAGCTCCAAGGCAAACAGGAGGTTTTATCTGTGCTCATAGGCGACTTGTTTTTGCAGATGATGTTGAGTTTGTTGTTGTAGGCAAATTTGAGTTTGCTGCCAGAGGTAATGACCATTGTATGCGAGTCGGCAAAATTTACACAAATTTCTTTTTCTTTTTCTTCTCTTCTTTTGGTTTATATGAATATTTCAGAGAAGAGCATTAGAGATAGAGATAGTGAGTTGAAGGATAGTGAAGATGGAGAGTGACAGAAAGACAGAGAGGTAGAAAGTTAGAGAGATAGGTGTTGTTTGGTGGTAGGACTTAATAGGATATTACCGAAATTCTGCCAAAAAGCAAAAAAGACAAATTGAAATCCCTGATAATTTGAATCCCACTTCTCTCTTTACATGCCACAATCTCCTTGATGCCTTTGAGCTCTTGTTGCAACTTCCTTCTTCATCATCGGAGGTTTTGAGCAGGAGCAAAGAGGGCAAAATATCAATAGCTAGTGTGCTTGGGATTGACAGTGGTGAGTTTTTACCGATCTAGGCCGACAATGTGCAGAGTTTAGAAAAATAGGAAGGAGGCATTTGCCGATGAGAACGTGGGGGATGGAGCAATGGTACTTGCTTTCGATGTTGGCTGTTGGAGAGATTGGTGCGGTAGAGCTATTATTTGTTGAGTCAGAGGCGGACTGTTACGCCTGGACCGGTCCTAGCTGGATGGCTCAAGTCCGGGCGGAACCAGGCGGAATCCAGCGGAAGCCTGGTGGGCCAAGCATGGGTTAAACGCATAGTTTGGAGGGAAATTTTGAAATAGAAGGGTTTTTTAGGTATTTTGTAAAACTCCTTTATTGTTAATTAGGAGGATTGGGGGGAGAGGGAGGATCATCTTGAATTTGAATCTTATTTGAGATCTAGGTTTTTGTTCTTGGGCTCTTGGCGTTGCCTGAGATTGTGGAGAGTATTTCCTTCCTCTCGAATTGAAGGAAAATTGTATCTTGCAAGTGCTTTTCATCTACTAGTGGAATACAAGTGTTTGCTTTGATTTCCTACAAATTTCTCTTAAGATTCTCTCAGTTTTCCCACTGTTTGGGCAGATTTTTTGCTGTGGACAGCAGCATTTTTTGTTTGGATACTTGATTTGGGTTAGGTTTGCTTGTGCCTACAAGTAGTTCCTATCAAATCGGTATCAGAGAATCGATTGGGGACCTTAGGCGGCTGAAATTCTGATTTTTCAGCGAGCTTTTGGCTTCCGGAACTGAGTTTTTTGAGATACGGGGGAAGAACGATGGCCGGAAAGAAGGTAGAAGTCTTGGAAGGCGAAGTAGGATAGTTGAAATCCGATTTGGAGGGAAGATTTTTTTATTTTCAAAATCAAATCACCACCAACAATGAAAGGTTGGAGGGGAAGTTCACCGTGATGGAAGAAATGCTTAAAAAATTACTTGAGATGAAGACAAATCAGATGACATCGGAAGTAAGAGAGACCACCGGAGGCCATGTCGGGGGAGGAAATCCAAATCCTTTCAGGGGGAGGAGAAATTCGGAAGTGGAGGTCATTGAGGGGGAGGACAACATGCAGCCTCTAGAGCCGCTTTCTAGAGAAGAGATGAGTTTGGGGAATGATCAAAGAGGTGCTGATTTCATCGGGAGAAGGGAAGAATTCCATCAACGAGGAGCTGAATTTGAAGGGAGAAGAGGAGAATATGACGAAGGGTTCGGGTACAATCATCGGAGGGAAGAGCGTGACAGTTGGGGAGCACCTAATCTTCGAGGAATAGGAGGATATGGAGGACTCATGGGACACGGGGGAGACCCACGAGTGAGGAAGCTGAAGATGCCCGTCTTTAAGGGTGAAGACGGCCATGGCTGGATCTACAAGGTGGAGCGTTACTTTGCTGTCAACTGATTGACAGAGGATGAAAAGTTGACAGCGGAGGGTTTGTGTCTGGAAGGAAAAGCTTTGGCCTGGTATCAGTGGCATGACAGGAGGGAGCCCATCCGGAGCTGGAGAGAGTTTAAAGATTGCTTATTAGAGCGTTTCCGAGCCAATGGGGGAGGAGACTTCTACGAGCAATTCTTTGCCTTGACTCAGGAGGGGACTGTGGCAGATTATCGGGACAGGTTTGAGTACTTGGCTAGCAGGTTGGATCACATTTCAGAATCAGCCATGGAAGGGAACTTCATGAAGTGGCTGAAACCAGAGATCCGAACAACAGTCAGGGTGCTGGAGCCGAGGAACCTGGGAAAGGCTATGGAGCTGGCACAGTTGGTAGAAGATCAGAAGAAATCCGAAATAGGAGCTCGAGGGAACTATTCTGGGGGATCATACAAGATGACTACTACCTTCCTACCATCAAAAGGGGGAGCACCAGGGGGTCATAAGGAAGCACCCAAGGAGAAGACTGGAGGGGGAAATAGGGGACAGTTCAAAAAGCTAACATAAAAAGAAATGCAGGATAAGAGAGCGAAGGGGTTGTGCTTCAGATGTGATGAGAAGTACATGCCGGGGCATAGGTGCAAGGACCGAACTCTTCAGGTTCTCCTTGTCTGTGAACACGTGGAAGATGAGGAGGGAGGTGGGAGCAAATCTGAGGAGGAGGAGAAGTTGCATCTGAATGTGGAAGAAGTCTCTCTGAACTCGGTAATGGGATTCACTCCAAGTCACACTATGAAAGTAAGAGGAGAGATAGCTGACCGTGAAGTGTTGGTGTTGATCGATAGTGGGGCAACCCACAATTTCATTTTTGCCCAGATCGTTGATCAGTTGGGGATGAAGTTAGTCGATACCGGAGGCTATGGAGTGATGATGGGCATGGGGAAGGTGGAGATGAGAAGAGGAGTTTGTAGGGGAGTGGTCTTGACCATTCAAGGGCTACAGGTGAGGGAGGATTTTCTCCCCTTAGAATTGGGAAGTACATATATCATCATGGGGATGAAATGGCTATAGACTTTGGGGGAGACCAAGGTTAGCTGGGGTGCTCTGGGGATGGAACTGATGATAGAAGGGCGGAGGAAGGTGATCCAGGGGGATGCAGGGCTGTCAAGGGAAATCGTATCTCTCAAATTCATGATCATATCCATACAAGAGGTGGGAGGGGGATTTTTGGTTGAGCTGCAATATTTGGAGAGGGTTAGTGTGGGGGAAGAAGGAGGCATTCCACAGGTGGTGCAACCGCTCCTACAGCTATACAGGGAGGTGCTCCAGCCACCCCAGGGCTTGCCACCACCTAGAGAGCAGGAGCACACCATCCTTTTGAAAGAGGGAGTGTCACCGATCAATGTTCGATCATATCGCTACCCCCAGATTCAGAAAGACGAAATTGAGAAGCTTATTAAGGAGATGTTGGAAACAGGGATCGTTAGACCTAGTGTAAGTCCTTTCTCTAGTCCCGTCTTACTTGTCAAAAAGAAGGATGGGAGATGGAGGTTTTGCGTGGATTACCGGGCCCTGAACAAGGAGACGGTACCGAACAAATTTCCCATTCCGGTGATCGATGAGTTATTAGATGAGTTGCATGGAGAAATTGTGTTTTCTAAGATGGACCTGAAGTCGGGCTACCACCAAATCAGAATGAAGGGGACATTCAGAAGACGACTTTCAGAACACACGAGGGGCACTATGAGTTCTTGGTGATGCCATTTGGGCTCACTAATGCCCCTGCTACCTTTCAGTCCTTGATGAACAGGGTGTTCAGGCAGCACCTGAGGAAGTTTGTGCTAGTCTTCTTTGATGACATTTTGGTGTACAGCCAAACCGATGAGGAACATTTGGAGCACTTGAAGGAGGTTCTGAAGATTCTACAGACGCGTCAGTTGAAAGCTAACTTAAAGAAGTGCAGTTTTACCCAGTCTAGGGTGGAATATTTGGGACATATAGTGTCTTAAGAGGGAGTGGCAGCCGACCAGTTAAAGGTTGAAGCAATGCAGAAATGGCCCATGCCCAAGAACATCAGGGGGTTGAGGGGTTTCTTGGGACTGACTTTATACTACCGGAGGTTTGTGAAGGCGTACAGTTCCATCGCTTGGCCATTGACGGAGCAATTGAAGAAGGACAATTTTCGGTGGGGAGAGGAGGCGACCCAGGCTTTTGAACGATTGAAGACGGCCATGACGACCGTCCCACTGCTAGTTCCAGATTTCAGCCAGGTATTTACGGTGGAGACCAATGCTTCAGGGTATGTCTTGGGAGCAGTGTTGATGCAGAATCATAGGCCTATAGCTTATTTCATCCATGTGCTATCGACCAGGGCGCGATTGAAGTCAGTGTACGAGAGAGAACTGATGGCCATCATCTTAGCCATTCAGAAGTGGCGCCCTTACCTGTTGGGTAGACATTTCATTGTTCGTACGGACCAGCGGAGCCTGAAATATTTGTTGGAGCAAAGGATGGTGACTGAGGAACACCAGAGGTGGCTGTCAAAACTGTTGGGCTATGATTTTGAGATCCAGTATTGACCAGAGGTGGAAAACAAGGCGGCTAACGCCTTATCTAGGTGTGTGGGGGAGCTTCAAGAGTTGACAGTTTCAGTACCCCTGATGGTTGACTGGGGGGCCATTAAGGAAGAAAGCA